GGGATGTTGTCGTGGAGATGTCGTAACGGAGCCGTGACAGTAGAGAAGAAAAGAATGGAAGACTCGGTTGGGTGAGAGAGTTAGAGGAAGGCGTGTCTCTAGTGGTGGAGGATCCACCGGAGGAAAAGTTCGGAGGGGCAGAGGAGGAACTGACCGGAGAAGGTCAGAGATGAGACAAAGAACGTGCTGAAGGGGATGGATCTGTCCCGTTCTGGAGAAAATGGGAAACGAACGGTTCAAACAGATCGGAATCAAACGAAACTTTATGGGTAAGTCAACGCTCTGATCTAGTTATAGTTGAAAGAATTGTGTCATTCGGAGTTACACATTGAAAGTTATGGACGTTTGTCTGGGACTGATCTGTGCAGAGCGTGTCTGCTACCAGCTGAATTTATAGAGGGTTTTCGACCAAATCCGACGGAACTAGAGCACGATCTAGATGTTTATGCAAAGAGAACGTTGTGACGATTCTGGAACACTTTTCCGATCTCAGATCCGAGGTATATTCTGTCCGGAAATTGATCTCAAAGTTGAGCAAATATCACAGTTTCTGAACCCGGAATATTTTCTATGTATATATTCCATGTTCCAGTTTCAAGATGCCGTGTTTGGAGGATGATTGCGTTCACATTCGAGCATGTATGGTAATGAATATGGTTTGTGCTGAGAGAGGACATGTCAGTGAAGCCACGAAATTTTTTATCATCTTCACCGGAGTTATGATATGGTCGTGGTGACGTTTGCTTGCTGCGCAAAAATCATYAGGAACTGAAACTGCTAGTTTCAGAAACAGCCCTGACGCAGCTGCTTTGAAGGTCCGTTAGGGGATCTATATGAAGTCCGATCAGGCTGTAAATTGGTGTAGTTTCTCATGACACTATTGTCTTTAGAATCAATGGTCAGATTCTCGAATGGACGGTTAGTTTGCTATTTATTTGTGTCTTTCCGAGTATGTTAAGTGCAGCTTTATTGGATGATCAAGTGTAATGAATTGTATTGGTTGGTTGGGTAAACGAGCTTGGATTGAGCTGTAAATTGTCAGGAATCTTATGGACCTATATAAGATTGTGTCAAAAGAGAATTGGAGTTGGAGATTGGAAAGTCAGTCAAGGAAAGGAAGCTTTGTGGCTAAGGTAAGGGTGTTGGCTAGATTATTTTAATACTCAGTAGATGTTCTTATATGTTAGTCTAGGAATGAAATGTGATGTGGTTGGTTATATATGCTAAGTCTAGGGATGCTTGATATTTGCTGGTTATTATATGGTAGTTTGTAATATTGTTTGATGTGTAGAAACTATTTGATAAAGTTATATGGTGCTAGGTAGAGAAAGAATGTTAAAGATTTAAAATGAATTGTTTGATATTGTTAGAGTATATGATAGTTCTGTGAACGATGGCGTACGTAAGCCCGTTGCAAAACTTTGTGTGTTGGACTACGAACGATCGCGTATGTAAGACCCGTTGTAGTCTAGGCCTTAGAGGGCCATGACGGAGAGGACATGTCCAAAACGCGAGAAAAAAGTTGGTTCCGCCGTGAATTTAGAAAAAATAAAGAAAGTTTAGAATGTGAAAAGTAAAGAATGTGAAAAGGAAAGGAAAATAAAGAATGTGAAAAGTAAAATGTTAAGTATGACATAATGTATAAGTAAAAGAGATTATGGTGTAGAAATGTTATGTTGCTAGTAATAAGTTGGGTGATGCATGTTCTATTTCTGGTTTAACGTGTTTGACTGCTTATTGTTTTCAAGTATTAAAATTGTTGTGGGTAACAATCTCACTGAATAATTTCTTCCCGGAATTGCTCACCCCTCTTTTTCCCCTTTCAGTGTGTGCATGTGTATTTCTTATGTTGCAAGTTAGGGCGCGAGACCTAGGACTCAAAGTGATTGGGGTCGAAGTGTGTCATGTTATAGTAAGTATGATTTTGTTGGTATGATTTTGTTACTTGATGCCGCTACAAATAAGTAATGTACAGATTTGTTATAGTAGGTCTGATCTGTTTAGAAACGTGAATGATTATATTAATTTTTATTCTTTAGCCGTTGATATAGCACAGGGTGTGATTTTGTTCATATGTAGAAGTGGTAACACCAAAATCAACAAAACTATAACTAATTCATAATATTTTTACAGAGTTGATTTGTATGAGAAACTGGTTGAAGCAATCTCAATTATCAGAGCTGATTCAATTGCTAGTCGGATCAATAGCAGTAGATGTATGTAACGGTCTTTTACGGTATCTTTCTAATCTAATGAGATAGTGTAGAACATGGTAATTTAATTTAAGTAAACATAACTTATGTCTTTGGAAAATTAACGGAAGTAAAAAGAAAGATATATTAAAATCCTGCTTTTATTAATAATAATAACTGATGAAAGAGAAACAATGCAATCCTAGAAACCACCGAAAATGAAACAGAACATGAGTTTGATCTTTAGAAGAACACCAAAACCAAAAGCAACACCATAAAATAAGTTAAATAAAACATTAAGCAAGCAGGACGATTGGAGAAAATATGGCTTTCTTATTCCACTTTGTTTGCAGGCTCTTCATTCTTCTCTATCTTAATTTCCTTCATAAGGTCCTTTTTGATTCCTTCTGTTTTGCTATCGGACATGCAAAGTTTCTTGGTTGAAGAGTTTTCATCATTTTCATCAACCAAATCAATGGACTCGTTGCTTTTACGCTTAGAGGATGGAGTTGATTCATCCTCACCGCTATCAATTAGCAGCAATGGAATAAATAATATTACTTTAAAGTACATTGATCATGTCACTTTGAGTGACAATTTTTGTCACTTTGTATGTGTCACTGTTGAAAACTATATTCGAACTTTGGATAGAAATCTTGAAGAGGAAGGTTCTGCCACATATATTAGTTTGAGCCAAAGGTAGGACTTCGGGATCCTGGATCTATTTAAGAGAAAATATTGCAATTCATATTAGTGGTAAGTAATAGTTATGATGTAGGTTCTAGAAGAATATAACT